GATTGGTGCCGTCTTTTCCATTTACTTTCTGAGTTATGAGGAGTTAAATCACTCTCTTTTTCTCTTTTGTTCTTCCTAAACATCGACAGATTTCTCTTGGTGTTTCATCCACGAAAACATGAGGTAGTAACTTTCACACTCAAAGAACCAAAAATATTCGTCAAGTAGTTATAGGAAAAACATTATCAATGTAATTACACCTATACTATATACCTCCCCAAGAAAAAGAAAAAAACTATATACAAATCCTCTTTCTCTCTAGATTTATGTACATAATATAAATACAAAGAGCTTCTCGTTGAAAAAGGGTGAGACAATATATAAAGAGAAAATCTTTCAATTGGCGTTGTACGGCACTCGCGTCTGTGGAATCCATGTGTTGCCACGTAGGAAGTTTCCTGGAGCGAACCCCTTCGCGTCTCTATCGCTAATCCGTCGAATACCCCTCCATCTGACTCGTCTTCCCTGACCCGAACCACGACCTCTGTTCCGATACTCAGAGTAGAACAACGTGTTGAGCGCAAACGTCTCGTTCCATTTCAACCAACCTTCAGGGTCTATTACATCATCAATCTCTGTGTTCATTATAATCGTTCTCGAGAACTCCTTCCATGGTCTTCCCAAAAACGCCCTATTCCTGAACATATGTAGGTCCATTTATATAATGAGCTTAATTAAAGTGATATCGAGCTAGTAATTATAAGTTCAAGTTTACGGTAATTATAGTTACTTGGCTTTAACGGGACGATATGATGCATCACCAATTATACGGCTATTATGGATAACGATCCCGGTTGTCTCACGTCGGTCTTTTCTTCCTTGGGCTGTAACGATGCATTGTTGGTTGTCCATGGGACGGCGGATGACAAATTCGCAGTTTTGGAAGACGGCCTTGGCATCGCCGAAGACGAAATCTATTGTGCCTGATATGCGGCAGTCACGGTAGAATTGACGGTGTGTATGGACGTAGAGCGTGTCTTGGTAACCATCCATACGACAATTGAAGAACACAGCAAAATCGGCTGAAACTCGAAGTGCGACCGCTTGATGGCGTGCAGCTCCAGCCGTGTTCTCGAACCCTATGTCCTTTGCCATGAAGTAGTCACCATTCACCGCTTCAAACACCCAAAACAATATTTTAGGAATTTCACATTTTAAATAACATAATTAACCTTGTAAATAACGGATATAAATAACTCTGCTCATTGTCGGTTTTGAGATGAAAAAACTAGGAATTTTGAAATGTTATGTAATTTACCGACAGTAGCGGTGCGGTAGGTGCCGATGCGGTCTGGCAAGAAAGCAATGTCTCCGGTGATAATGGTTTTTGTTGGTCCGTCTCCGACGAACATGACATTAAGCATTTTCTTGGTTACCTCTACTTTCTCCTTGTAAACACCTTGTTTTATGTGAATCACGAACTTCCTTTTGTTATTTTGTGGTACCATTGCCAATGCTTGTGCAATCGTCTTGAACTTACCACTCCCGTCCTTCGCTACCACTGCATTCGCCCTAATATTATTCCCTCGGGCAAGAAGCCTCCGCGATTGCAATTCTAACCATGGCGGGAATTCGTCTGATAAGTGTCGATCTTTGATAGCTTTTAATTTTCCAAGAGGATCCAACGGTCGAATCACTGAAGAATCTCCGTTTTTAGGTTGATCCTCAGAAGAATCGGATGGTTGATCCCTAGAAAATTCGGGCGGTCGAATCTCAGAAGAATCTTTTGATCCGGATACGGAAGAATCCGAGTTTTTAGGAGGACCCTCTGAAGAATTAGACGGCTGATTCTTCTGAAATTCTGGCGGTCGAATCTCGGAAGAATCAGTCTGTCGATTCTCAGAAGAATCCGACTGTCGGTTCCCGGAAGAATCTGATTTCTTAGGCGAGTTCTCGACCGAATCCATTTTTTCAGGGGAATTTTCAGAAGAGTTCACTGGTTGTTCTTGTGAAGAATCCGAGCCCAAAATGCCAAGTCTGTCTCTTGTTCGCTGTTGGAGACATCAAAGAAATATTAAAAATGCAAAAAAAAAAACGAAAAGTAGAAACACTAATAAAGTAAAAAATTATCGAACTTTATTAGTGTTTTAATTTAGGTTTTAAAACCAAAACTCAACTTGGAAGCATTGAACTAAAGTATTATTAGTTTGATAAAATTGTAACGAGTATGTACCGAAAGAAACGGAATGCGGAAAGCCTTTAATAAATTATCGAGATTGGATGCGATTGCTAATCCGTTGCTAGTTAGATGCTGCCCTTTCCTCATGAGCCTCTCCATAATTGCAGCAGCTTCGCTATCGATCCCTTCAAATCCATCGATGCATGTCTGTTGGTACGTGATCGATCCGCTAAGCCAAACACAAAGATCCTCAACGAAGTCTGAAAATCTAGTGAACAAAAATCCTCTGAATTTTTCCCTTGTTTTATGAAGATCCTCAATCGCAGCATCCATTAGCTCCCGACAACTATTAAGCGCATCCCTAGTGCGCACATCCGCGTCTGATCTGCTTTTTAGATCAATCATTCCCCTGTTGACTCCACTCCGAATCGAGATAATTGCAAGATCGAAAGCAGATCTTATTAGATTCCGTGGATCTGGCGACCTAACACTCGCCAGACTCGTGGCGCAATCGGATTTGTAATCGGTGGAGGAACATATTACATTTACTGCTGTCTTTCTTATCAGTAGCTTGCTTTGCCGGTGGATCTCTGCGGCTTTTCGACTCGGGGTGCTGTCATGATAAGCCACCGCGCTAACAACCATTGCCATAAAGAGAGACACGATGCCAAACAAGGCATACTTCTTCATTTTGCTTGAATCGTTCCATTTATCCAACATTTTCTTTTTGGGAATATTCTTTTGAATTAGAATATTTATTGCTAAATGTGAGTTGGTTTCGAAGTCCTACTTATATGAAAAGCAAGGGAGGGAAAGTTAGTTACTTACCGTTAAAAAACATGAGGTAGTGAATAGTTGCTCAATTCTTTTTGAAAAAACAAAATATTTCCAATGGTTTTTCCTTTACTTGCGGGAAATTAATGTTCTTTTTATATCATTGGAGGTGAACAATCACAAAATCGGATGTTGTATGATTGTATCATATCCATGCATGTATACGGAATATCGTATTGGATCCGTTTCTTTTTTTCTCTCATATATTTTAGTTCAATATTGATCGGTCTATCCAGATTAGATACTTCCACCAAAAACACTCTGTTTTGTAATTTTATTAATACTACTAAGTCAAAATTTAATAGAAAACCAGGACACAATTTCTTGCTCAACTCACCATCACCAAATACAACATCATTGACTTCACTCGGATTCGTCAATCAAATAACAAAACCCGAAAGACACAGTTTAGTTTCTCTAAACCACCATCTATCATCTATAGAGATAGAGGAACTCAAGGCGGCATCAGCGTAGTTGGCTAAATATGAACCATCTTATCCGGATCACAGACAAGAGTCACAAGAGTATAGTCTCGTTATAATATAAGGCTTCGCGTAAACTCGAAGGTCTCCTCCGGCGTTGGTTCGAAGTGAGGAATGATTATTATTATTTTTCTTGTAGTATATATTACTCGTTTCATAAATCCGACAAGATTGTAACATCTATATATTTGGTTCATCTACAAAGGCACCAGAACTTTCGTGGTTCATCTCCAATAATCTTCTTCCGTTTTCACACTTAATACATGGACAAAAACTTTTCATATTCTCGACGAATATAGGTTGCTTTTTTGCAAATTCCATAAATTTTTCCAACCCTTGACCATATGCTTCTGAAACTTGATTTGTTGTATGATCAATTCTCTCATACATCCACCGTCTAGTAGCATATACATCGCTACTTGAAGACATAACCTGCAATAATATTGGAGAAGAGAATATACGATGATTTTATTTTTGGAATCTGGACATTCAACTAGATCATAATTCGTTCATTAGATCAATAGCTTCATACCTTTTTTATTATGAAAAAAATCAGAACACGTTCAAGAAGAAACAAATTCACTCAACGAGAAGCTTTAGTCGTAATCTAGCTTGGACTTTTGCAATTTTCGTTCACTATCTTAATCCAATAAAAAAATATATTAAGTCAGAGATATCTTGTAATCTATTATTTTGTCAACGTATATAAGATTCGAATCTCAAGCAATATCCTTTCATGTTAATGTTAGGGC